CGCTCCCGCTGAGGGTTCGGATCCCACATACAGACCGGCCACTCACTGGCTGAACGAGGTGCGGGCGCAACACCGAGGGTTGCGATCCCGTTGCCAGTCCTGGTCCGGTACTGGCGCGACACTGAGGGTTGTGATCCGTTGCCGGTCACGAAAAAAGACAAAAAGGAAAAAAAATAATAATAAAAATAAATAAATAAATAAAATAGGCTGTGTTAGAGGATCTGGCGCAATTGTAGTAAGTGTTCTGGGCATGTATAAGTTAGGCCAGGCTAAGCTATGATGTCCGGTGGGTTAGGTGTATTAAATGCATTTTCAACTTACGATACTTCCTATTTACAAAGTTTACAGTATGTAACCCTATCTCAAGTCAAAGAGCACCTGTAGTAATGTCATGCCATGCTGAGCACTTAAAATGCACCAGGCTCTGAGCTCAGTGTTTGGCACCCACGACTGCCTTCTGGGGTGGATACAGTGGTTTGGACTCATCTACCAGATGAGGAAACTGAGGCTTGGTGAGGTGAGGGGAAGGGCAGGATTGGAGACATTAACCGTGGGCTACACTGCTCGGTAACAAGCATTTCTCCACTTTACATTTGACTCACCAGTGGCTCTCAACGGGACCCCAAGAATAAGAATGGGATCATCAGGCATTGGCATGCTTTCCAAAAGTCTCTGAGAACTAGGTCACCCAAGAAATTGCAAGCCACCTTGGGGTAGCCCTTTGACTCATGCTCGACCTTGTGGGCTCTCTGATGGGAAAGACGACCCCAGCCTATCTCTCACCCCGTGTGGTTTGAACATGTCCTGTTCCTCAAGTTTGCTCATCCATAAAATAGGGATAATACTAGCACCTACCTTAGAGCCCCGGGAGATTGTCCCATGAGGATGACATGAGATGGGGACACGTGGAGGTCGCCCCAATGAAATGCACTGGAAATGTGAGCTCACACACACACATGCACACACACGTGCGCACGCACACACACACACCAAGTTCCTTCTCCAGCGCCCACTCCCATTCCCCTCAAGGGCAGGGCTGGGCTGAGTCACTGCTCAAGGCAGGTGCATGGGAGGGAGGCGACAGCAAATGCTTTGGGATGAAAGAACCCATCCCAGCTGTTCTCCAGCCCCACCATGCACTGTCCAACCAGCACACCTTTACACGTGCTGTGCCAGCCACCTGGAGTGCTCTTCGCCACCTGCCAAAGGCCTCCTGTGCCTTCAGGGCAACTGCAGTGACACTCATCCCGGACACCCCAGCTCCCCACCTCCACCCATCCTGCTCAGACCTTTGAGGATAGAATGGCTGATTGAATGACCACACTCAAGTTTGCATTTGAAGCCTCTCTCCTCCTTGTCCCCTGCCCCTAACTTGCAGGTCCTAGAATGGCTCCCGGGCTCTTCCTCTTCAGAGCTCTGCACTGGCAGTTTCACCAGCCAGGAAGGTCCTCCATCCTCTCTCCACTTGGAGATTCACTCCATCTAGGCCCAGGCCCAGTAGAGTTCCCTTTGAGACCACCCCCTTGACTGCCAAGCCTTTCAGACCCTGAGCTGTCTCCCTAACTGTGAGCGTTGGGGAGAGGCCAGGCCTGGGGCTGAGGCCTCTCGAGTTCCCTGGTATAGACCAACAAAAGTCAGTGTGTAAAAGATACCACAAAAGTGCACGAGTGAATGGGCCGGCCCGTGGCTCACTCAGTAGAGTGCGGTGCTAATAACACCAAGGCCCCGGGTTCGGATCCCACATAGGGATGGCCGGTTTGCTCACTGGCTGAGCGTGGTGCTGACAACACCAAGTCAAGGGTTAAGATCCCCTTACCGGTCATCCTTTAAAAAAAAAAAAAAGCACGAGTGAAGAGGTGGAGGGGTGAAGGTCAGAGGGCTGGGAGGTGCAGAATGGGCTGGTAGGCAGAGCGTGGGCTTTGGAAGCAGGTGACCTGGGCTTCCAGGTGGTGGGACCTTGGGCAGGAGCTGCCTACTCTATGGGCTTCAGTCTCCTCAGCTTATAAGGGGCACAAGCAAAGCAATCTCAGAGAAAAGAAGCAAAGTTGGGAGACACACAGAACCCGAATCTAGAGTTACTAAAAAGCACTACAGTTTTCAGGACTGTGTGGGACCCAGCAAGGAAACAGAGAGTGCAGATGGACCAAGGGGACTGACAGATCCAAGACACAGAGCAGAGGCTAGAAAAGACTGGCATGTGTGTGGTCAGCTGATTTTTTACATGTTAGGGGGGAAAAGTCTTCCCCACAGATGTTTCAGGAACAACTAGACAGACATATGGAAAGAAATTAACCTCAACCCCAACATCACGCCACATCCGAATATGAATTCAAAGTGGCCCATAGACTGAAACATAAAAGCTAAAGCCATGAGCCATCTAGAAGAAAATCTAGAAAATCTTTGCAAACTTAAGCCCAGCAACATCCCCTACACAAGGAGCACGAGAAATAAAAGACAAAACCTGAGCAACTGGACTTGGTCAAAATTCAAAACATCTGGGCCGAGCCAGTGGTGCACTCGGGAGAGTGCGGTGCTGGGAGTGCAGCAGCGCTCCCGCCGCAGGTTCGGATCCTATATAGGGATGGCCGGTGCGCTCACAGCGCTCACTGGCTGAGTGCAGTGTGGCCGGTCTCAAAAAGGACAAAAAAAAAAAAATTCAAAACATCTGCTCTCTGAAAGGCACCAGTAAGAAAATGAAAAGCGATGGGTCCGCTGGTCAGCCCGGCTGGTCAGAGCACAGCCTTGTAACACCAAGATCACAGGTTCGGATCCCCATACCAGCCAGATGCCAAAAAAAAAAAAAAAGAAAGAAAGAAAATGAAAAGCGAGTCACAGAGTAAGAACAATACTCAAAATAGAACTCTCCGACAAAGGCTTGTCCCAGGGTATACGAAAAGTGGGCACAGAATGAGGCCACTGTGGGTACCCAGTGATCAGAGGCCACCCCAGCTCACGGTGCCTGGAACAGTAGCAGTGGTGACTCTCACACAGGACTGGGCTAGAGGGTCGCCCCAGCCAGCCCAAGGTCCAGCTGGCTACCAGGACAACCTGTACCCGAGAGCTGGAAGTACGCAGGTTGGTGAGAAAAGAAGTGTGTCCTGTCTGGCAGTGTCCACAGCCCTCACCCCAGGTCTTCCAGCAAAGCCCCCTTCCACTCTAAGGACAGGCTAGATACCAGGGGGGCTGGACCCTGGGGATGAGGCATTGACTAAAGCCATGCCAACCTCGTGTCCCTAGAGTGACCCAGGTGGCCTGAAAAGCAGGGGCCTGGAAGGAGGCAGGGTGCAGAATTGTGTTCCAGGCCCACTGCCACCTTCTGCTGGGTGGTTGTGGCAGATGGCTTCCCCTCCTGGGTCTGTAAGGTGACAGGTGCAGGCAAGGTACCTGTGGTGGTCTCTTTTCAGGGGCCCCCTCCTTCCTGGAGGCTGGATGGAACAGCAGGAAGGTTCCCGGGTGCTGAGCTTCAGGAGGCCCAGTGATGGCTCTGCCCATCCTGGCTGCAATGGTGGGCAGCATTTATGGAAGAAGTTCCCACAGGCCCGGGTTGTAGGAAGAGCCAAGTGAGAGCTTTTATTTTTTTTCAGAGGAAGCTCCTGGAATCAACCTGACCCATCCCCATGGTCCCCAAAATCCTTCAGGGTCTGGCTCTGACTACCCACCATCATCAATCNGTGATCAGAGGCCACCCCAGCTCACGGTGCCTGGAACAGTAGCAGTGGTGACTCTCACACAGGACTGGGCTAGAGGGTCGCCCCAGCCAGCCCAAGGTCCAGCTGGCTACCAGGACAACCTGTACCCGAGAGCTGGAAGTACGCAGGTTGGTGAGAAAAGAAGTGTGTCCTGTCTGGCAGTGTCCACAGCCCTCACCCCAGGTCTTCCAGCAAAGCCCCCTTCCACTCTAAGGACAGGCTAGATACCAGGGGGGCTGGACCCTGGGGATGAGGCATTGACTAAAGCCATGCCAACCTCGTGTCCCTAGAGTGACCCAGGTGGCCTGAAAAGCAGGGGCCTGGAAGGAGGCAGGGTGCAGAATTGTGTTCCAGGCCCACTGCCACCTTCTGCTGGGTGGTTGTGGCAGATGGCTTCCCCTCCTGGGTCTGTAAGGTGACAGGTGCAGGCAAGGTACCTGTGGTGGTCTCTTTTCAGGGGCCCCCTCCTTCCTGGAGGCTGGATGGAACAGCAGGAAGGTTCCCGGGTGCTGAGCTTCAGGAGGCCCAGTGATGGCTCTGCCCATCCTGGCTGCAATGGTGGGCAGCATTTATGGAAGAAGTTCCCACAGGCCCGGGTTGTAGGAAGAGCCAAGTGAGAGCTTTTATTTTTTTTCAGAGGAAGCTCCTGGAATCAACCTGACCCATCCCCATGGTCCCCAAAATCCTTCAGGGTCTGGCTCTGACTACCCACCATCATCAATCTTGAACACACTAGGCTTGATCCTGCCCCAGGGTCTTTTTACCAGCTGGTCAAAGCCCAGACACAGAGCTGCCAGCTTGCTACACAGGCAGACCCCTGTGGTCATTGAGGTCTCTGTGCACAGCATTCCCTTGGAGAGGTCTTCCTAGATCCCTAACCACATCCCCTCCCCTGGGTCCCATCTGTCTTTTTTGAGGCCCAGGGACCCTGTGTCTGCAGCCCATCTACTGAGCAAAGGAGTGATCCCACAGAATCCTTGTAGCAGCCTCAAATTAGGGCCACTGGGGTCCCCGACTTCAGGTGAGAAAACAGGCACAAGAAGCAAACACTGGAGTAACAGGTGGAGCTGGGCATTGACTCCCACAGAATCCAGCCAGGTCAGGGCTCGTAACCCGTTTCCACCTGCTACATCCCCCCACTTCTCTAGGCCTTGGTTTTCCCCTGTAACGTGCCTGTGGTGCCTGGAGAGGAGACCCCAGCTCTAGCCTTGATTGGCTATTTCCTTGGTGTTATGTGACTCTGGATGTGTCACAGGCTGTCCCTGACTCAGCCCCAAGTGGCGATAGAAGGAGGTTCAGGAGCCAGTGGAGTGCAGGTGGGAGGCTTTATTTCACTGTGGGGGGAGGGGAGCTTGGACAGAGGGTAGCAGGCAGGGCAGGAGGGGCTGGCGCTTGGGCAGGGACTGGAAAGGGGAAGGGCTGCCCCCAGGCCTGTTGAGAAGGAGAAACTGAGGCCAGCCCTGGTTGAGACCTAACCCAGGGGGATGGGGGTGGAGATGGGGTAAGAACTGGGTCTGGAAGAATGAGGGCCTCCCTCTGGGCTGGACGTAGGGCCTTGGCCCCACCTCACTTTTCTCCTATCGGGCCTCAGTCCCTCCTGCTCGCTGGGCTGCACAACCCCCAATCCTTGCTGCTTCTGACCTGGAGGAGGGGCTAGGCCATGGAGGGCAGTGGACAGGGAGCCTGGGGGAGGTTACAGAGCGTGGGATGGGGTCCACGGTGTGCGGAGTGGGTGGCGGCCACCTGGGCAATCAGTTCCTGGCAGCGATGACCACAGAGAGAGCCACACCCCCCAAGGCGACGGCAGTCGCCCCAAACAGCCACTTCCATGGGATAGACTGTGGACAAAGGGGAGGGGAAAGACAGCTGGAGGGTGGTCAAGACTGGCTTCTTGGGTCTCTTCTCCCAACACAGCCCAAGCAGGCCTTCCGGCAAATCACTGCCTGATCATGCCTTTCCTGCCTACGGACAAACTCCTACTCTGCACCAAAACCCAAACGAAATGTCCTCTTCCAGGACAACTCCCCTTCTCCCTTGAATGAGCTTCCACTCCCTACCCTGAGCCCTCCACTTTGAGTTCCACCTCTGCCCCAGCCCTGGTCGCACAGGGTTGGGGCCTCTCTGTGTTCCCAGCATCACCCAAAACAGCCCAGTTGCTGGGGACATCAGTGTTAGAAAATCCCTCTACCTGGCACACCCTGCCCATAGCCCCTGCCCCCCACCCCGGTATCCCCTCTGTGCCTGCCAGCCCCAGCTCACCCAGGCACCCTTGCCAGGACACTTGGCAGGCAGCCGGCTGGGGTTGCCCAGCATTTTCCGGTACAGGGCAGTCTCCGTGCTCCGCTGAGCTGCATGCTTCTTCACCAGCTTTGAGAGCTCTGCATGGATCGTCTGCGGGAGGTGGGTGGGAAGTGTGCTGAGCACAGGCGGTGGTGGGATGTGCCTGTCATCAGTGGAGCTCTGCCCTTCTGGGACCATGGGTTGCTTGGGTGCCAGGACACGGGGGTTCCATCTGCCCCTCTCTGAGCTTAATCAAAGCAGGGGCTGCCATGGCGCACTCAGTTAGAGTGCACAGTGTTACACCACCAAGGTCAAGGGTTTGGATACTGGCCAGCCGCAGGGGGTAAAAAAAGAAAAAAAGTGGGGCTGCCATCCCCACCCCCATAGGGAGCTGGTAGATGGGGCAGAGTACAAGCTGGCTGGGAGAGAGGAAGGTTCTGGGAGAAAGGCTGAGGACACTGGCATTGGCCAGGCTGGTGGTACCCTTGGCCTCTGGGCCTGCTGGAGGAGTGAGCCGAGACTGCCTATGAGGGAGTCACAGGGTTTTTTAGCAAACTGCATACCCCCCGCCATGGCCCAGACGAGACCACCACAGAAAGAACCACAGCAAGAAAGACCTGGGGCAGACCACAGGAGGGACTTCCCAGATGGGCCAGCAGGGCAAGTCCCCTCACCTTGTTGGAAGGTTCCAGCTTCAGGGCTGCCCTCAGGATGGGGATGGCCTCACTGTACTCGCCTTGCTGAGCCAGCACCTGTGGGGGAGGGAGTGGCATCACTATGGACCCACACTGGGCCTCACTCTCCTTAAGAAACCCAGCCCTGCCAAGTTCCTGGCCACCCTGACAAGTCCTAAATCAATCTCCAGCAACGGCCCCAGGGGTCCAGCCACCCCCATGCTGCTCCCCTAAGCCCTCAGACTCCATTATGTGCCATGCATGGCTTGGCATTATTCCCACAACCTGCTCTTTCCCCTGTGTGTCTGTCTCAGCCTAGGCCAGAGACCTGGGCACTGGCCTCACCTCCTCCTCACCTTACCACCTCAGCTGCCTGGCTCAACAGGAGCCAGATGGACATTTCCAAAGCTTTGGCCACAGCAAATGATTCAGGGCCAGGCACGTAACCAAAAGAACCAATAAGATCCAGCCTGAACTGCACTGCTAAGTGGGGAAGATGGAAGCATGAATCTTTGGGAGCAGGGGAAGGGGGCGAGAAGTGTCACGGTCACCCTGGGAGAAAAAAACTGCATG